CAGGGATGGCTCTCCCACTTTTTCAGCTGCTTTTTAAAATGTCCCATTTCCTCTATCCCCCACTTTCCTTCTTTAACTTTGGCCTACTTTCAGTGTTGTAAAGTGAATTCAAAATGGAAAGGAAAGTATGTGTTGTCGAAGGCTTTCATGGCTAGAATCACTGGGTTGCTGTGAGTTTTCCAGGCTGTATGTCCATGCTCCAGAAGCATTCTCTCCTGACCTTTCACCTACATCTATGGCATACATCCTCAGGGGTTGTGAGGTCTGTTGGAAACTAGGCAACCGAGGTTTATATATCTGTGGAACGTCCACGGTGGGAGAAAGAAGCTGCAAGGCCATTCGATGCTAATCAAGGTGGCCAATTTAACATTCACACTTAGCTCAAGCAGACAAGAGTTCATTCTCCCATCCTGGACATTTCACCAATATATAAACCTCACTTGCCTAGTTTCCAACAGACCTCACAACCTCTGAGGATGCCTGCCATAGATGTGGGTGAAACATCAGGACGGAATGTTTCTGGAACATGGCCAGACAGCCCCGAAAACTCACAGCAACCCAGAAAGAAAAGTAATTTGTACTTTATTAAGCAACAGAAAAGCTTCCCAGTACATAAATTCCTCGGATGGCACAGTGGGCTAAACCACTGAGCTGCTGAACTTGCTGATTGAAAGGTCACAGGTTCAAATCCAGGGAGCTGTGTGAGCTCCCACTGTTAGCCCCAGCTTCTGCCAACCTAGCCGTTCAAAAACATGCAAATGTGAGTAGATCAATAGGTAACGTTCCGGCGGGAAGGTAATGGCACTCCATACAGTCATGCCATATGACCTTGGAGGTGTCTACAGGCAACGCCTGCTATTTGACTTAGAAATGGAGATGAGCACCAACCCCCAGAGTGGGACGCGACTAAACTTAATGTCAGGGGGAAACCTTTACCTTTACCTTACATAAATTCCAGGGTTTCCTTATTAAAAGTAGTTTTGCATATTCTTTTTCATGAATAACATTTGCCCTCTGGTTGACTGTCCACACCCTTTCAATTACACTTTCATGTTGCTCGGCCACATCCTAGTTTTCATCTGTAAAATGTCAGAAGATCTCACATTGCAAATGTATGTCAATTTCTTGCCGATGTCATTGTTTATGGCAATAGGGTTTCCTTGCAAAGATTTGTTCAGAGGGGATTTGCTATTGCTTCTCTCTGAAGCTGAGAGAGTGTGACCTATCCAAAGTCATCAGATACATTTCCAAGGCTAAGTAGGCATTTGAACCCTGATCTCTAGAGTTGTAATCCAATGCTCAAACTGTTACCCCACTTTCGGCCAAAGAATCCTGGTTTGCTAAAGGTGTGGAACAGGATTTGCTAGAGATTTCAGCCTTCTTCCATAGAGCTGCAGTACTTAAAGGCTCAATTAATTATGGAATAAGTTAGTAGCACCAATATATTTACACAGAATGTGGCAGCAACTTCAGCAGACCGAGGAACAGCAGCCGTACAAACATATCCTGCTGCAGTCCCCAAAAAGACTTTTTGCTGTACTAAGTTGAAGGCTGGACAACTATTGCAGGCAGAGTGATGGATTATTCAAAGAGGAATGGATTCTGCCTGCTCTTGTTCTCCCTCTGAGCTCTTAAAGTGACAAGTACAGTATAATATGTTATGTTCTCTTTGGACATGCCTGCCTTGGAAGCTGGGTGGGATTGGACCTGCCCGCTCTGCCATTGATGTATATGCACAATTACCCATGAAAGAGCATGTTACATACCAGAAGGCATTTCAGCAAATGCTTTTTGCTATAACATAATATAGGGGAGAGAATAAGCCAACAGTTCAAATCCTGCTCTTGTGTGCAGTCAGTCTGTGTTGAAAGGTTATTAGCCCACCTGCACAAATAGATGTGACGCTGGAGATGTATGTGACTTTGAAAAATTAGAGGTGGCTGAAGATTAACCAAGTGGAGGCGGCACCACTATGTGTGCAATGGGGACGTTTACTCTTTCTCTCACTGTGTGTTGTTCATGAGGAACACTCCTCTCCCAAATATATTCCTTGTTATCCCCACTGGGAGGGAAAAGAAGACACAATGCAAACTAATTTCAAGCACGTTTAAAGAAGTCAGGAGCACAGATCAAAGCTAGATCTCTCACATCATGTCTATTTTGGTTACTAGTGAGTCATTTGCCATATAATAATGGCTCCGAGGCAAAAAACAAAATCCACGCAATAAAACAAAAGCATCTCACCATAGGTTACAAGAGAATGGATATACTGGTACAGTCATGAAAGCAAGGGTTGCTCAGTATTGTTCATGCATTTGCAGTCCACCTTACAAAGTTGTGGTATATAAAGCAGATGTTCTCCACCCCTCTATCTTTACTGAATAGCCACTCATTTTTTTTCCTGACAGGGAAATATAAAAATGAAACATCTAGGCTGTTCTAGCTCAGTGTGATCTTTCCCAAAATATAAAACATTTTTTAATTAGGTGCTGAAGAAAACTTTGATTAGATGCATGGGATAGGAAGCAGACTTCCCACTTGAAGCACAAGAAAGTGTGGAAAGGAAAAAGTAACCCACAGTTGATTTGTATGACTGTATATCAGCGTTATTCCCCCTCCCAATTTCCCATTGTATAAACGAGGGTTGTTTCTACAACGATTACATGGGTGGGGGAAATAATAGAAAAACAGGGGGAATGGTTGTATTCCTTCAATTCCCCCCCCCCCCCTTACTCCCATAAAATGGTCTATCCTTCTCTGCCGAGTGTCCCCTTTTGGCCTCTGCCCAGATCATGGAATAGTACCTTGATTTTTAAACTAAAATGTATAGATTTGTCTCTCTCTATAAAAGTCAAAGTATGTATGTATATATTTTTGTACCACAAAGGCTGTTGATAGGTGAAGTGGCCCTCTGTGCTGTTACTGAATTGGCTGTTGCTAGGTGAAGTGGTCCACTTGTCATGCCATTGGAAAGAAAGGTAACACATGTACAGGGGGAAGGGATGAAGGAAGGAAAGAACCACAAAGAGAGTCTGACAACTCTTGCCAGAGAGTTGCCTTGGAGACATTGTGAGGGAGGCCTTCTCAAAGCTGGAGAAGGGACAAAATAGGCAGGCAGCAGTCCCAATGACACTAAGACAACATCCTATATGCTAGTCAGTATATACACTTTGAAAAGTGAGGGCACCTTTTTGCTTGTTTTTCATGTCAGAAGTGACTTGAGAAACTGCAAGTCCCTTCTGGTGTGAGAGAATTAGCCATCTGCAAGGACATTGCCCAGGAGATGCCTGAATATTTACAAACCTTTGGGAGGCTTCTCTCATGCCACTGCATGAGAAGCTGGAGCTGACAGATGGGAGCTCACCCCGCTCCCTGGATTCAGACTGCCAACATGATCTAGGGTGCAGAGAACTGAAGGATGCTGACATTCACCTATTCAGCCCCCAATCCCCCATTTTTTGAAGTTACCTCCCTTCAACCTAAACTTAAAATGATGCCACCTGAGCAAGTTTCACATTCCTTTTCTTAGAATGGGGGAAACATCTAGGAGAACACAGGCTGAAATGCAAAGATTGACTTGGAGCCCAGTTTAATCTCCTGAAATTGGTGGGACTTGTCAGACTTGGGTAACTTAAGTTCCATCGGTGCTAATGCTTCTGCTCAAAATATAGCCAGTTTTGAATCTCATCCACTGTTTATAGTAAAAATGTTTAGTTGTGCATAATGCTCGGAGTAAAGAAAGGAAGCTTCTACCGAAATCAGTTTGCAAGTCCTCACTGCAGTAGGTACATTTAAGGGATGATGTTTACCTAAATGTTGCCTTAGAGTGAGTACTGTGGGTATTCTCTCGCTGAGCCTAGCAATTGGATTTAGGTCTTAAGATCAAAGCTCCATGCATACTGTGGCTATCTCACAACCTAGACATGGAAGCAGGGAAATAGCATAGAGATGGGAACATATTGCAATAGGTTTGATTTATCCTGTTCCCTCTCTCATCTCTTTCATAACCATTAGGCCATTGCGGTCTGCTGGCATGTTTTCCCCAGCTCTGTTTTTGCTTCCTGCCAACTGTGGCTTCACCAGCCAAACTTTCTTACATGTTAGCCTCTTGGGCTTAACGGTGCCCAGACAGAGATCCTAAAAATATCTGTTGTGAATGCCTTTTTTGCCTCTTAGTGTGACCTCCATTTATTCATATCCTAATTTCTTCTTCATCAGATCCCCAGTTGAAATCAACCCCAATTGTACCCAAGCGGTGGCAGCTTCAAGCACGGGCTGACTCCTTTTCCCTGTTGGTTCTCCCTGGCTCGATTCTTGGCCAGGCTATTTCATGGACTTTGAGGGACCAGGCAATTATCCTTTTTAATAGAGCTGTGGCTTTGGGGCTGCGGGACAGATGGAGGCAAAGGGGGCCAAAGGAGGATCAAAGATTTACACTAATAGAAATGCCCAGCTAATTGTTAAGGAGATTAGAGGCTCGATGGAGGAGGCATGCAGCTCAGAGGTGACCTATCGCATGGTCTCAGAGAGTCCCGTAACATTACCCAGGTGTAAGGAGGAATACATCCTCCACGGAGGGAATCAGAAGTAGAAGCTGGCAGATTGGGTTGCCAGGCATGTTTCCCACCTCAAACATTGGGGGATATGAGGGAGTTTGGGAATCTGGCAAACACCCAAAAGAGGAGGTTGAGTAAGGCAGCCAAGGCAAAAGGAGACATATAGATACAGTGTGGAGCACAGCTAACATGGGGAGCAGGCTTGCACTGAAGAATGGGGCCTTATCAAAAGGCCATTGTGTAGCCTGTCAAACCTCCGTTCTTTGTGGCTTATGCAGAAGCCCCACTATTGGTTACAGAAGGCCGGCAGCTCACTGAAAGCTTTGTAATCCTAGCTGTGCTAATTAAGCAAGACTGTGGGGCTGCCTAAGCATGTCCTTTTTCCTGAGTGTTCTGCCCCCACCACACTGGAGAAGGCGAGGAGGAGGAGGAGGAGGAGGAGGAGGAGGAGGAGGAAGAGGTCACTCTGAGGCATGCAGGAGGCAGCAGTGCTGCCAGCAGGGGGGAAGAGACAGCCAAATGAGATTGGCTTTATGGGCTGCAGCAACAGCAGCAGATTAAATGAAGGGAGAGCTGGCGCAGAGAGACCAGGAACTGGGGCACTTGCACGTCACGGTGGCTTTGACTGAAGTGTAAGGTTTGTTTGTGGTAATCCAGATTGCTCGATTGTGAGGTTGGGCGTATGTCCGCACACGTTTTTGTACCATAGGAAGGACAGGGAAAAAAAACTAGCCTTTGCCCCTGTCCTTAGGGCTGCTTGCTCTCCAGACAGAAGATGCCAACAAATGGGATCCACCAGGTCTTGAAGATCCAGTTTGGCTTAATCAATTCTGATAACCGGTACCTGACGGCAGAGAGCTTTGGCTACAAGGTGAATGCTTCCGCACTTAGCCTGAAAAGGAAGCAAATATGGACCCTGGAACAGGACGGAGACAGTTCTGTAGTCTTCTTGAAGAGCCACCTAGGTAGGTACTTATCTGCTGACAAAGATGGCAAGGTCTCCTGTGAGGCCGAGAAGCCAGGAAGCGATGGGCGTTTTGTAATTGTCACTCAGTCAGATGGGCGCTGGGCTCTCCAGTCAGAACCGTACAAGCGTTTCTTTGGTGGCTCTGAAGACCGGTTGTCCTGCTTTGCCCAATCCATCACTGAAGTGGAGCTCTGGGCTGTACACTTGGCCATTCACCCACAAGCAAATCTTCTGAGTGTCAGCAGGAGAAGATATGCGCACCTCAGTGCCCAAGAGGATGAGATCTCCACCGACAGCAACATCCCCTGGGGGGTGGACTCCCTCATCACACTTACCTTCCAGAACAAGAAGTACTGCTTGCGAACCTGTGATAACCGCTACCTGCGTAATGATGGCACCCTGGTCAAGGAGCCTGACTCTCGCGCAGGCTACACCCTGGAATTCAAGGCAGGCAAGCTGGCCTTCAAGGATTGCGATGGGAAGTACCTGGCACCCATGGGACCTACCGGCACTCTAAAATCGGGCAGGAGCTCCAAACCGGGCAAAGACGAACTCTTCGATCTGGAAGAGAGCCACCCACAAGTAGTTTTCGTGGCCTCCAATGGCAGATATGTCTCCATCAGGCAAGGTAAATCCATATTGTTCTTCATTGGTAGCTCTTCTGTCTCAATTACTAGAATGCACATGTCTAGTTGTTTGCCTGTCTTCTGGAATGGAAAGAGGCAGGTGCTGACTGAGTACATATAGAAGAGGCAGGGAAGAGATGGTTGCAATTATCATCCATTTTCTCTCTCTCTGTCAATCAATCAATTTTGAATTTGGTTTGGAGATCCTGTTTGCAGCTGTCTTCCTGATACTCATGGGTACCCCCAGAGGTGGTCAGGGAGGGACGCATACAGCTTATTTTATGAAGTGTATGCTTCTTGTTTTGCTCATATCAGCTCATTGTCAGAGCAGATTACTGCTTCTATGGCTTCTGTACAGGTGGGCAATTAACAACAATTGATGCTGTGGATGGAAGAGGGGTTCAGAATCTCAGAGCCAAGGACAAGCATAGTGATGGGCAGCAGCAGCAGGCAAATCTGCTTTCTCTGTTCATCACTCTGCTGCACCCTTTATGGCTTTGTGCCAAAGTGGAGGGGTCTCGCATCCACAGGACAGTCAGCTCTAAGCTCAGGAGCTTCTTAGAATCAGAGACACCTTGTACTACAAATTAAGATATGGAGACAGCCAGCAGCAGTCCCTGAAGATGAGAAACAGAATGATATAGAACCTATTCTCCTTTCATTTGACTAAATCTGGTGGCTCTTTAACAAAATAGACAGTTGTTAACTGGCCCCTCTTTCAACATATGCACATGACAGAATGGCCCACAAGGAAAACAAGCCAACAAGCAATTCCTGGTTCCCTCCCCCAGTTCATTGTGAATCTCTTCTGCATAAATCCAGCTAAAATGAATGGGATTTGCAAGAGTGCACCCTGGTGGCACATGGATAGATGATTTGCTCATTGCATTTAACTTTCTTCTGTGCCATTAAGCAATGGCACTTGGATAATATCTTCTGATCTAGGGAGGGAGGGAAGGGGGGAGTGGAGGAGAGAGAGAGAGAGACTATGCTTTTAACAGCCAATGCAACCTCCTATCTTTCATTTTTCCCAGCTTATTTTCAGTGGTTCCAGAGGAATTCATTAGCACAGAACATCTGCAGTCGTGATTTTTGCACAACTGCAAAGCAACAGTGTGGTATTCATTTTGTACTCTTTGCCAACTAATCAAATCCATTCCTTTTCCAGACATTTTTGACCAATATATTTAGAAAGAAGATGCTGAGAAAATATTTTGGGAAGAGACAGACATTTCTATTTGCAAGTACAAAACAAGACAATCTTTTTATATAAAGATTTATTGAGTTTTGTATCAATAGTGAACATATAACAGTAACAGTAGCGCAACGATATAATCTGCCCAACCTCACCAACAAAGAGTAAAATATAGGATAGTTAAGCAGTGGTTGAGATTCTACATCAGGAACAGATACAGAAATATTCACATGTGGAGTTGCATGTGCTATGTAACCATTGTTATGATTGTGCGATGCAACCCTATTCTGAATGACAACCTCGCCTAAATGTGCATTAGAATATACATCCAAAGGTACATGTGTTTCTGCCTGTGCCTCATGTCTCCACATATATAGCTCTGCTTCCACAACCTTGTACTCAACAGGCATGTTCAAATCAGACAAAAATGCCTATCCGCTGCCATAGGGGTGCTTATGCATGCATGAGTCACCAGCTGGATTGCAGCCACTGCCTTTTGTTTGCTAGTGCTGGGAGCCTGTGTCTGGAAGCTATCCACCAGCTTCAGAAATTTTGCTTTCAAAAAGTTACCAGCCACCGATGTAGTGCAAACGCTCAATGTAGCTAGTCAGAGTTAGCTACAATTAAAAGGTGACTTGTTACATACTATTACATTTTTAAGGTAATTTTTTTCACTTTCCCTTTCTCAAAAATAAGTGGATGTTTAAAAAGTTGTTAATATTCTGCTCCAGCTACATGCAACCTGTGACTTGGCATACCAAACACACATACTCTCCTCCTATCCATCTCATCATGGCCTCAACATCCATATCACAGTATAAGTCAGCAATGCATGCCAGCATTTGAAACACGTGATTGTTCTCTTACACCATGTTGGGAGTCTATCTATGGGCCCTTCCCAACAGGATCTGATCCCAGGTTTTCTGCTTTATACTGGATTATATGATTCCGCACTGCCAGATAATCTGGGATAAGCAGAAAACCTGGGATCAGATCCTGGGATAGAGGGCCCTATGTTTCTGACAAATGTTGAAGTAAAAAAGTTATAGCAGTTACAGCATGAAAAGGGTTGTTTTTTTCCCCTTTATGTTATAGTCATAATACAATGTGGTCTATATCTTTGTTGTTGGGGAAATGAACTAGTTCCAAGTAAGTACTTATTTATAACTAGTTGCTTCCTAGTTCTATTGCACTGGGGTTGCTGTTTCAAAGGCACAGAAGTAGAAGCAAGAGGAATGGGTGGCAGCCCCATCTTAATACCCAACATTGTTTATAATTACAAACACTCCTGTATAAAGAAGCGTTTGAAGAATATTGATTGGGGAAAGAAACCAGTCTTTCACTAGTATTTAATGGCTGCCTGCATGAAAGGGTGGGTAACAAATCTACGACATTCTTGCCTTTAATAGCTTATTTGACTTGTTTCTGTACAACAGCATGTGTGCCCTATCTCATGATAATTGTTTTCCTGGCCTCCCCAAAAGCATCATATGGAACAGAGTGGGGAAGAAAGGACAAGTGCTATTTGCATATCACAATTCCATTAAATATACGAATATTTGTATTTCACATTGCAGAACAGGGAGAATGCACTAGTGAAAAATTGAAATGCAATCTGCAGATTTTTTTAAAAAATACAAGAAATCTTGAACTAAAAAAAAAAAAAGAACCTGGTCAACCGGTGTCTTTACACTCCTTCCCTCCAGAGAAAAGTAAACTAAATATAACCCATTAGTCTTTTTAATGCTGTTTTCAGAGTCCAAGCTCCACAGGACGATGATGGCAGCCCATTCCTTTTCTACTGTTCTGTCCACTGTGAAAAGAACTAAAACTGTGCTAAAAGCCTAATTTCTGCATCCATAACACAGGCACATAGAACTGGCAACATCTAACGCAGCCCCTGATGCTCTCCTTTTCACAGCAGCACTCTCTTGTCAGTTTACAGGGACTGATATTTAGTTTTGTCTGCTCTTTCCTGTGTATGAAATCTTTATTAAAGGTTCAGAAACTGAGCAGATGTGTTTTATCAGTGGCTGGCTCTGTTGCCATGACTAAATTTTGATTATTAGGATTATTTTGATTATTATTACAAATTACCTTCATATATTTTATTCTGGTTGCCTTTCCTCAATATGTGACGTATTAATGGCAAAGATTACAGGAGATCTGCAGGGATCAATATGGATATAAATATAGAAAGATAAGGCACATAAACAATGTGTTTGCCCCACCATGTCATGACCAGAGACTGAGCCTTGTTTTGTTTTCCAAAACCACACCACATAATGTCCATGTGTTTAATGTGTTCACTTGTGGAAGCATAAAGGCTCCCCTTTACTATTCAAACTTAAGGCAAAACAAACAGAGATCAACAGATATGTACACTGTAGAATTAATGTGGTTTGACACCACTTTAATTGTTATGGCTTAACGCTTTAGAATAATGAGTTCTAGTTTTACAAGGTATTTACCTTCTTCTGCTAAAAAGTGCTGATGTTTCACCAAGCTACAAATCCCATGATTTCCCCGCCAGCAGAGATAGAATACCTCTCTATGGTCTCCAGCAAAGCTTGCTCAAGTGATGTTTCAACTGTGCAAAGTGTTGTGTTCAACTGCCTTCCTTCTCCCCAAATCCCAACCTAGTGATTCACTAACATAGCCTCTCCCGACCTGATGCCCTCCAAATCTTTGGGATTATCACTCCCATCAACTGGTCAGGCCAGTGACATAGATGATGGAAGTATTTATTTATAGTGTCAGAAGCAAATTTAGGGTACTGTTATAATGTATTTAAAAACACAAACAAAGTTAAAAACTTGGCATTATACTAAATGTCCTTTGACCAGAAACTGGCCACTTGGAATGCCTCTGGTGTTGCTGTGAGAAGGTCCTCCATTGTGCATATGGCAGGGCTCGGGCTGCATTGTAGTAGGTGGTCTATGGTTTGCTCTTCTCCACATTTGCATGATGATGGAAGTGGTTATCCAAAAGAAATAGGAGTTGACAGATGGCAACCAGAAATGCCACACTGCTGGCCCGCTATATGGCCCTAGGACAATTTCAGGACAGAGACAAGCTACCTAGATTTGGTTAAGAACCCAAATCCACAGGCAGACTTGGAACACATAACTCATGGCTACAGGGATTATACTGTTCTAGCAAATTGGTCCTGTGAGGGGGGGGGGGTGTCGATCTGTGCCTCCTCTAAATCTGGGTATTCTCTGATACTTCTTCAATGGTATCCCCTCCAGATCATTTGGATTGGAATTCCCATTCTAACCAAAGAGTATGGTGATCGTAGTTTAATACATATGGAGAATATCTTATTTGAAAAGGGTGAAGCTATGAAGTTCTGAAAAATAAAAATCTCAGAGTGAGGATGCCAAACAATTGTTGGTCTCTGTGAAAGAAGGTTCTTCTCATAGCTGGCATGTGGCCTGTGTGCCTTCAATGCACCATGTCTCCAACCATGTTCACTGTCACAGGTTGTGGTGGTGGGTAATAGTTTAAGGGCATTCAACATATTAGTCACAGATAACAGCCATTCTCCCTGCCAGCTGGTTGTTTTCTCCTTCCTCGCATGTCCTCCCATTATTACTGAACATGTTCAGTCCTTTATGGGTCCTTTATGAATTTTTTTAAAAAAGGTCATGGGGGGGTTTATTTCATACTTCTAAAAAAATTCAGGTTCCTCTAAGCTTAGTTTTATGCATAAATGTTGGGGTTTTTTTCCTTCATGAGAAATAGCACTCACAACCCAGATTGTGTGTATACTGAAAGGTATTTTTCCCAAATGAAGAGAATACA